ATACATACATACATACATACATACATACATACATACATACATACATACATACATACATACATACACACACTTAACGCTCCACTATGAGAAAGAGGCATTCATGGGCTCGGATGACAGCATCGGAAAGCAATGGGCTAACCAAAATAGCCCATCAAACTTTTGTGTAATGGTCTAGTCCGGCTCAAGTTGAGGGAGACAAAGCTTCTCAACATGCAGCTGTTGAGTCCTATTCGGAATTGGCCCCCTCGTGAGTTTTCTGATCTGGAGGCGGAGCTAAGCCTCCAACCAGGCCCCAAATCAGTGTTTAGGATGTTAGACGAAATGACGGTGTGGTGGGGCACGTGGACAAGACCAACGGTCGTCCGAATGAAAAATGAGCAGCCAACTAAGGCTGGTGTACAAAAAGTCGACCCACAGTTGGGGTCGGACGAGTACAAGCAATCGAGTCTGCAGTGGATAGAAGGAGAAAAGAGGAATCATGAGGAAGAAAAAGGGAGAGGAAAGTGACTAGGAGTCTTATTTCGGTAAGGACGCGCAGGTTATGAGGCAATGTTCAAAGGAGGCTGAGATAGTCGAACCGGTCTGAGCAAGAGGATTGAGAGGTGAGAGGAGAAAGATTGAGTATTGTTGGCAGGATAATGTGTTCTTGATAGGTGTGCTTAGAAGAGAAATGGAGTGGAAGAAGAAGACATCTCAATTTGAGACTGACCAGCAAGGAGCTAAACAACTGGCTTGATTGATTAAACCATAAATTGGTTTCAACTCATGCGGAGGCGTGTAATGATGTACACATTCGCACACAAACTCGTATGCATGTGTGTGTGCTTTTAAGGTACAAGTGATATTAAGGTGGGATAAAATATGCCCAAAGTCAAACGAAAGGCCTCAGTGGACAGACCAGACGTCGAAGATGTGGTTAAAATGACCTCTGAACTGTGTTCTTAACCAAATGTATAAGTTAATCAGACAGTCAGAGAAATGATATTGTCAACTTCGAGGACCAGTGCTTGCCTGATTTCAGGTAATAGGAAACACGAAGATAACGAAAAAGTAAACTATTAATATAATAACATTATCCTGGCATGAAGATTATACATGTAGTATGATGTACTGGCGTTATGATGTTGTTGTCAGGCGGGAAAGAGCCATGCGACCTATACCGAGCGCATCGATTGCTAAGGACCCACATATCTTCGGGTGCCAATTCGACAGATTTCAAACCAAAAATAATAAAGAGTTTTTCGCAAACGGGTCTTGTTACAGAGGAGATTTGGTTAGACGAATCTTGTCTGAAGTCCTCTCTTACAGTAGTTACCATAATTCCCAGCGTCGGACCGCGGACTTGGTAAATTCGTTGGCTTTTTTCCAGTGTCGTAGTTGGTATCGTCAGTGAGTCTTGTCATTCCTATCACGAAGTTACAACTCATCAAAGAGAAAAATGGAGTCAATGCCTTGACCATTTCGGCAAAACGTTGGTCAAAGGATTGACTCCACTTGTCTCTTTGACAAGTTGTAACTTCGTGATTGGAATGACAAGACTCACTGACGATACCAACTAGGATATTGGCAAAAAAGCCTACGAATTTACCAAGTTTGCGATCCTATGCTGGGAATTATGATAACTGCTGTGGCAGAGTAGTTCGGTCAAAGTCCGCCCAACCAAACAGCCCTGACAGCAGAAGCAAGTTGCGAAAAAGAGGCGAGACCGCTGCTAAAAGTAATATAGATATAAAGAGCAAAATGATGTATTCATGAGAGACGATTTAGTTTTCCCGCATAGGGCAGTTGACTTGGTACATTTCCACATGATACACCGGC